AGAGGGACATTATCCCTGACTCTTCACCATTCCTCAAACTACTCCTGACCTATCTCCACCTCTTCTATTTGATTGGTGTATTGCTACATTGGTGATACATAAAAAATGAAAATGACAGAAAGCTTTCAAATCAGTGTTGCCCTGGTCATAACAAAGGAATATGGAAAAATTTGTACCAGTAAATAAGAACATGGTATCTTGAAGATAACTCACCCATTTGCCTATTATTGAATTGGCACATACTTGAATACCAATGCTTATGCTAAAAACCAACAGCATTTTGAATGTCCTGTCTTATCAAGTCCTCAAGCAAAACTATATTGGCCATTTGAACTTCTTTATGAAACATTTGTTCCCACTGCTGCCTCCAGTAGAACAATGTTATCACATTTTCAGTGTGTGTGTGTGTGTGTGTGTGTGTGTGTGTGCGCGCACAAACCACCACAGCATGTATGGTCCACAAACCACTACAGTGTGTGTGTATGTGTAGAAACCACCACAGTGTGTGTATGTATGTATGACAGGAGAGGGAGGGAGGGAGAGAGAAAAAGAGACACAGAGAGAGAGATAGACAGAGGAGAGAGAGAGAGAGAGAGAGATAGAGAGAGAATGTGTAAGCTATAGGGTACCTTTGTGGAATAGGTTCTCTCCTTTTACTGGGGTTCCAGGGAACAAACTCAGATCGTCAAACTTGATGGTATGAGCCTTTACCCACTGAACCATCTTGCTGGTGCTGAGAACAGCTTTTCTAAATCCAGAGGTATTTCTACTTCAAATATTTTCAGAAGGTATTTTTCGTTTCTCCAGGTGAAACCGATCTCTAATTTCCAGAAGCCTATTTTAACTCTTTTCAGTGAAACTTAAGTCTTTCAAAATTGATACTTTGATTTCTACATAAATATATTTCATAAATTGAAATCAAGTAATCTCGAAGGAAATTAAATAGCTGAAGCTCTTTGTCATAGCCCTATGCCTAGTTCCCAATCTAGAGTACAGCTGAATTGCCCTGATCAACTTTGTAGAGATTGGAGCTGCGTCTAAGTCTAGAGATGTGAGTAGGCGCATTGAGCCTTTTAATTCTTCACCAGGCTATTCGGATATGCAGCCTAGGCTTAGAAATACTGCCCTGCAGAAAATGGAGAGGGGGATTCAATGGTTATAAATTTTTAATAGGAGCAAAGATCTTGTGAAAAGTAGATAATGAAGGTCCACTACAATCCAAATAATGAGCACCTTCCGTGGAACAGAGGTATTAAAAGCAGGTACTTTGATTAAGAGTAAATGATACTAAGAAAACGGTTAAGGGGAAGCAAGATATGGTACCTGGATGGTAAAACAACTTGAAATTTGAGTCTGTATCATGCGGGAAAAGAACTGGAGGGGAGGGAAGTGCTGGCGGCTGAGGGAGACCTTCGTTACAATGAGAGTCAGAAGCAAGGCTGATGGAAAGGTGGGGATGGGGCCAACCAGATTTCAAGCGGAAATTCTGTGACCGGTGCTCTAACTTGGCAAGCTTTCAAAGACAACAGAACTCGATATGTGGTGAAAACAATGTTAATGGGGAGCTGGTGAGATGAGCCAGACATGAGGACCTACATTCGACCCTAGCACCTGGGGAAAAAAAAAAAAAACACCTGAACCATAGTCTACCCTTCTATTTCCAGCTGGGGAGGCAGAGACAGCAGAATCTTTGGGGCTTGATGGATGGCCATTCAAGCCAAATCAATGACCTCTAGGTTCAGTGAGAGACCTTGTCTCACAAAGTAAGGGGAAAGTGATGGAGAAGGCACCTAACATTAACCTCTGGCTTCTCCATGCAGGTACACATATTTGTAGCCACCTATACCCAATCACCCCTCCCCCCACCTCACACCGAGCAGATAATTGCTGAAATAGAGATGAAATTTAAAAAAAAGCAGGTAAGTTATTAGATCAGTGATCGACATGACACACCTAAGCTGATCGGGCATACAGCGACCTGGGGAGAGAGGTGTAACCAGTTGGTTAGAACTGTGTAAACGAGATGTCTGTGATGACATATTGGAACAACAGTTTCAACAATTCTGAGTTAGAAGTTCGTCTCCTTCTCTCTATATAACACCCACCCACCCCCAAATAAACCCATCTTTTGCTGAAAGCCAGGTATGTTTTAAGATATTCCTATGATAGCACATGCAATAATTTCTAAACAGTTAAAACCTGTTAAACACTGAAAATCACAGTAATTACAAAAGAAACCAAAGCACTCTTAAAACTTCAGGTGGCGCTTATTGGTGAGCAATGAATTAGAAGACTGAAATCTCTGTTATAATGATTGTAACTCGGACACAACATGGGACGATGTCCCCTTTGCCACTCAGAGTTCCCCAAGACATTGATAGTCCTCTTCTTGGTTCCTGTCTGTTGTTTCAATATCCAGATGTCTGGAAAGAGACCACTGTAAGTACACAGTGTGCTCATCAGGCCAGGTGGGTCCCTGGCTCACTAGACCTTAAGAAATGCTCACAGTACTTCAAAGTTATTGACCAACATTTCTTTCTAGGATCATTACAACCATTCTACAGCAAGACACAAAGATGTTACCATTGCAGCTTATGTTTAATGTGTGCTATTCAGTCATGCGATCACAGGGAAAACTTGCCCCACTAATGACGAGAAAAGAGATTTTATTTTCATTAAAAAAAAAAAATCAACACCCTACTCATTGTGGGGTATGGGGGCAGGAAACCACACACTGACCACCGAAGAACACTAAAACCTATAAAAAAAGAGAAGAATATCAAAAGGAAACTCATTATATTGGCATTGTGCCAAAATACTATACCTTCCAGTTCCATATCATCCAGCAAAATATATTAGCATTACTGGATCCAATACAAAATGCCATCGCCTATAGTTCAGATACACACACTACAACAAATACTTAATATCATATAAATATCTAATAGCATGGTCATAATTCTAGGTCCAGGTTACTTAACCCACAAATAAATAAAATAAACCTGGAATAAAAGTGCTTTATTGATTTATTTATAGCTACTCACTAGAAGGGCAGGGCTGAAGCTGCTGTTTTGTTTTGACTTAGAGAGTGGTTCTGCAGAGCACTTGGCTGCATTGTCAGAGACATAGAGGCACTCAGCGCCTCCAGTTCCCAAGTTCACAGACCCGACCCTCCTTTCCTATCTCCTATGTTAAATGTTCACTGTGCATCCTAACAAAAGATACCTGTTACATACATAAGTGAACAAATGGTAATTCCTTAAACCTGGGAGTTAAGTCTAAGCTTGGCGGTGATGGACAAAGGAGGGGGGGAGGTAAAAAGAGAAAAACTGAAGCCAAGAGGATGCAGAGGAGGAAAAGGAGAACACGGTGGCATTTTGAGCAGAAAGGATAAGAAAAACCCTCATGAGCTATGCCTATTAAGAACCTCAAGTAAATTTCTGAGGCGCTATAATGATCTAGAACTTTGGGTGGAGAAAATGCCACAGTAAGAGACATACACATTTCAGGTATTTTCTTTGCTTTGTTATGGTAGTGTTTGTGGTGATGGAAATGGAACCCAAGGTCTTCAAGGCCTTGTACAAATATTTTGCAATGTACCAACCTAACATTTCCACAGCTTTGCTGAAAACCACTGGAGCCAAACCATCAGCCCCAGCTCCCATTGGCCAACATATAGTCTAAGGATGGCGGCTCATCTATTCCGCATTCAGTGACCCAAGAAGAGTTCCTGTAGAGTTCTCTGGGTCCTTCTCTCTCATATGACAACAGGTACTCCAAGGAACAACTTTACTGTCCTAAGAAAAACCTGGAGACACTGAAAATTCAGTTCTTGCTAAATCTGCCAGTAAACCTGGTATTGTGTGTGATCAGTTGTCAAACTTTCCCAGGGTCAGGAACACAAAGGCCTGTATGGAACAGGAAGCTGTGGCCTCCTGGCATCTGTCCAAGCTCTGCTGTATCTTGGCTCTCTTGCCCCGGCAGGAATGCCCTTCCTCCCTTAAAAATTTCCACTGGGTTGTGTCTGCAGCTGAGCACTGCCCTTCTGCAGGAACAATTCACGAAATTCACACTCACCAGTACGCTCTAGCACTGCCCAATAATTCAAACTCCAGTACTGGCCGCAGACAGTTCAAAGGCTCATTGAAATTATGGTAAACTACTATGAGAGTCAATATGAATTATATTGAATTCAACACTAAAATCAAAATTTGCTATTTTTGTCAATGTGATTTTGGAAGTAAAATTTCAGAATCAGTTTTCCATTATTTCTTACAATGGGAATAAATAGCTTAGTTTATCAGATTAAAATGTAATATATTATGAAAAATATCTATACTTTATTATCCCTAAACTCACTTATCAAAAAACCCTTGAGTGTCATACACTGTGCAAGACTACATCCAGTGAGCACAACTAACGGGAACCCGCTATGTCAGAACGGTCACCCCACATGGTGCTACTTTCTCCAAAATAAGCTGGCATAGTGTAAACATTTTCCTTAAGGACAAAAATGAAAAAAAAAATCTAATTGGGGTTGGATTGAATCTCCTGGAAATTAAATGTGACAGGACAAAAGAACACAGAAATTATATAACTTTATTCAACAAATTGTGATCATATAATGCCTATAAGTAATATTGGGCACTGGAATATTTACTTTTCATAGAGTTTTACTACTTTATTTCTAAAGTTGTTATGCAGACACCTGCTATATAAAACTTACTGATAGAAGAGAACTCTTGATCAAGGATAAATAAAAAATTCTATATCATAAACTTTCATTTCAAAGAATGAAAAAACACTGCAACATAATGATTTCAAATTACTATAGTATAGTATAATTTTAAGACGAAAGTTAACCGATGATTTCTTATAAGAAAAATGCAAAACTATATTTAACAATTTTCTTACCAAAATAAAGCCATGTATAAACACATAAATATAATTTAGGGGGGGAAGTTTGACCCTGGTTTTAACACAGGCTAATTAGAAATAAACACAGGCACACTCAGAAGAATAACACATTCACAAAAAGTTAAAATTGGCAGAGGTAAAAAGCCATAAAATCCTGTCAGGTTTTCTTTCCCCTGTATTTGAAGCTTGACAGTGAATTTGGGAAATGAGCAGACAGCAAATGACACACACGCACACAAAAAAGCACTTCAGACAAACTGCTTGTCGGTGTGAGGACCTGATTTGACAAACAGGTTTAATCCACTTGCTCAAAGGTCAAGCTGTCCAAGTGAAGGATGACCAGTTTCCTCTGCTGCAGGAGGCTGGCTGCCAGTGTTTGGAGAAGTAGGATGCTCCTGTACGTGGGTCACTTTTCCTGAAGTTCTTGCAGGCGGAAGTTCATTATTTGTCTCTTCTTCCACAGGTAAAAAGGTTCCAGGCAGTTCATTTGCCATCAGAACTTGCAGAGAATCTGTTCCATCCTCAATGTCCATTTGAATCCCCAGAGCTTTCAGAATATCACATTTGCACATGGGGCATGTGCCATGGGCTAGAATCCAGGGGTCGATGCAGTTCTTGTGGAAAAAATGGTTACAAGTGAGAACACGAACTGTATCATTAGGTTTATAGGGCTCAAAGCAGATGACGCAGCTGTCCGCATGAGGATGGACTTCCTCATCGCCCTCTTTTAACACTCGAATTTGTAACTGGCCGAAAGCTTTCTTGAGTTCTCTTGTTAACCGCTTCCATCTCCTGTCCTCAATCCTTGCAACCCAAAGTCTCCGAATATGATAAAAGGTGAAATATGCCAAAGTAACCGTTGTGACGATCATAAAAGAGACAAAATAGTGGTTGAGCCAGATGATATGTTTCCTCCCCACCTCAACCATGACTGTAATGTGAACTCCCTTCCGGAGCAAATTCAAAATTTCCATGCCTTTCAGGTTACCAATCATAACTACAACGGTGTCATCAAACGCCTGGTGAGACATAGGGAAAACCTGGTTGCCAGTACCTGGGAAGTTATAGATGATCACTCCTCTGGCTCCGTTCTCAGATGCCACCTTAATTTTCTGCGTGAAAGTGCAGCCTCCTCGTTCAATGAGCGCGATCCACTGCTCATTGTTCCGTGGCCGGTTGAAATTGGTGTTGGGATCACAAGCGTTTTGAGTTTTCCCCTGTGGCGGGACAACCACTCCTGCTACTCTCTTCAGGCTGGAACTTCTCCCGAAGACCCCAGTTTCCCCCAGCTCTGACAGCATACGGTTCCCCACATGAAATGAGATGTTCATGTAAGCTGTCCAAACTGCACTTGCTGCGCAACAGTTCTGACCAAGGAGCCAAATGAAACCGAATTTCAGAAGCCAGAAGGATGCAGCGCTGTTTGGCCAAATGCCAGTGTAAAGGAGAGTCATCTCTGCCTTTCGCGAAGGACTTTAAGAGCCCACCCAAACAGAGGGTGTGGCTTCCACATCTGCTGACAGTCAATTCCAAAGGAGGAAGGAAAAAGTAGCTTCTGGGTGAAAACACGATCTGCTGGCTCCCAACATGGTTCAACAAGAGATTCCCAAAGATGTCTTCAGTTTCAGATGTTTGATTGGAGAGAAAACCTTTAGATAGGAAAGAAATCCCTGCCTCACTACTGTAACTTTGGAAACTGCTTGCTGTTGTTGCATGAGGTGATTGTGACATAAAAGACCAAGCAGCCAATTAGGGAAGAGCTCAGAGCACACTGTAAATGTATTGGCTTAGATGTTTCCAATGTGGCTATAGGTAGTTTGGGAATGCTTATAAGACGATTTCAATCACTGAGCCATTTAAAATGGTAATAGGTAGCACCCATTAAATTTTTTCAAAAAATCTCTGCAACTGACTCTTTTTAAAAACTCAAAACATATATAAGAATGCTGTACAACTGTCACATTTCCTAATCTGACAAAATGGTTTGAAATATACAAAGAGTCATAAATTAGGACTGTGACCAAATGAGAATGAAAGGCAATGAGATATTTGATCCCTGTCAGTTTCTTATCACCATGCAAAGAAATAAATGACATACAATTTCTGAGACATTTATTGGTTTTGTCTTATTTTGATCTTTTAAAGCAGTGTTTCTCGACCTGTTGGTCGTGACCCCTTTGGCAACTTTTAGCTCCAAAATATTTATATTACAATTCCTAACAGTAGCAAAGTTACAGTTATAAAGTAGCAATGAAAGTAATTTTCTGGCCGGGGTGGGAGGTGGGAGGGATGGGGGATGGCACCACAGCATGGGGGAACTGTATTAAAAGGCTGCAACATTAGGAAGGTTGAACACTAATGCTAAAGTACAGAATCCAGCTCAATTTTCTGGTCTCATTCTTACCCAGACAGCCCTGCAGCACATACAGGTGAGTAAGAATAAATAGAAAAAAAACTTAACATCTTAGAGGAGTTTATCTCTTTGCAGACGCTGACAGGTCTTACCAATCTAGCCAACCTCTGAATGAAGAGAAGAAAGGATGGACGAGTAAAGACTAATCACAGCTGTATAATGCAAGTGCAACTATTTTCCAAATGTAACTTAAATTTTAAAAAAGATTAAAATGAACCAAAATGACAGTAACAATGGTGACAGGTCATAGAGACGTGATGCTGACAAAATTTTTGACCAAACTTAATATCTCTCCTAGAAGATTCTATACACCCTGCCATCTCTGCCTCCATTTTTACTACCTTTATTCAATGGCTTTAAATAACTTTAAACGTATAGAATTAACATACATTGGCAGTGACAAATGTTGCTATATGTGTTCTCATGTAGGTATCAATATGTTTCTACTTTGCTAGCTAGAAAGTCAAAGCTAAGGACTTTTACCTTGAACAAACGTTTTTGGCCTCTATATGCCGGTTTAGAAAACAAGTCATTTAAAACTGGTACTTTTCGTAGTTTATGAAGTAACAAGCTGAGGCAGGAATGAAGAAACTTCTACATGCAGAACCAAAATTAGCATATAAGGTTTCGGCCAGGGAAATTCCACAGCAGCCCCCAGCCTTCCTAATGCGTTCACCCTATACTACAGTTCATGTTGTGGTCATCCTCAATCACAATTTTTGTTATTGTTACATTATAACTAATTTTTCTACTTTTGTGAGTTACAATGCATGTATTTTTGGAGCTAGAGGTTTGCCAAAAGGATCACCACCCTACAGGTTGGGAACCAATGCTCCACAAGCTCACAGAGCCATATAGGTTCTTGCCATTCCTCTTGGTTGCCTGCTAGAATTAGATGATAAGACCTTATTGTTAAAGGCGGGGCATACCTTGAATTCATGGTACAGAGAAATCAGGCTGGAACAGAGCTAGAAGCTGGCTCCCGAAGGCTAGCTCTTTCAACTCTGGAAGATGCCATGCAGGCTACTGCTAGAGAAAAGACATCAAAGATCTTACACAGTTGTGACTCCTATGATCTACAAAACCAACTTGCCAGGCACGATGCACTCACTCGTGCAATAGTATAGCACTAGTGTTGGTGAGCAACAGCTATGATTGAATTGGACACCCATGACGTGGTAGGTAATCTGTGTCTGGTACTGTAAACCTGGTCAAAAATACACGGCTAAGGAGATCACAGGTCCTAGTGCAAGGTGACAAGTGTTAAACTGTGATCCAAGTATTGTTTATATTCACAGACATTGACTACCCTCAGTCTTCATCAAAGAAGCCTCTCTTTGTCGCGAACAGTAGTAAATACAGAGACTCCTGACTACACAGTGTTGAACTAAGTGTCCTCCTTCAAACAAGACATTTATGCCAGTCCAGAAGAAGATGCAGAAAGAACGTAAAAGCTGGAGGACTAGAAGAAAGGACTTCAAAATACTATGTCCTGGAAAAGGCATGTGATTGAAATTATGAACTCACAGAAGCTGTGGACGTCGGACTGATTCTGTACAAGAATGGACACATCAATAGTCAGGCATAGTTGCAGGAAAGGCTCATAAGAGTCTACTCTTGAGTGCAGAACTATTTCTTCTTAATGGACTCAGGGGAAGAGGGAGCCATTGCCTTCAGTCGTAAACCCACTGATGACTGCACCAGACCCCAGTGGGTGGTTCTGATCTAATAGTCAGCCAGACAGTACTGCTTAAACTGTAAAGGTCCTAACTTAGAAGGAATTAGTGGCGGTGAGGGGTAGAGACTGATAGGATGAAAAGGGATAAGGGTATCTGGAGTAGATTAATCAGAATACGTTGCATATATGCACAAATCTGGCAATTAACAAAATAAATTAAAAGTTCAAATAAGTTGCATAACTCAAAAAATATCAGTGTGAAACTTTTCATCCACCATGGTTGATTTTCTCTTGTTGAAGCAATAGCTGCCTCACTTCCAAACAGCTCCTCGGGGTAAGCGCAGTAAACAGTGTGTAGACTTGCAAAGACCCCACCAATGCCATCTGCATTGAACATTAAAAGCTAAAGGAGATTTTCACCCAATCCACAAACCCTTGTCTTTCAGCTTTTTAATACTACGTAGGTGCTTACCCACTCACCAGAAATGAGAGTGGAAATGATTCTAATCTAATATTGGAATTGAAACGGAACAAAATGTTTAGTTCTGCTGTAGTGCCAAAGGCCATATAGATTCTCACTACCAACTGAGAAGAGAAGCCAATGACAATGACAGCCCCTAAGGGATATTTCTAGAAGAAGCTCTTGTCACCATGGCTGTTTCACTATGGTAGGATTTAAAGACCCATAACAAACAGGTGACATTTTGCAATACTGCTCTAAGCAATGCCTAAAATACCTTAAAACTTTTATGTATGTAACAAATTCTATCCTGTAAAATTATAAGAATAAAGTACATTCAACCCATAGCTTTGGAAAACAGAATTTCATGGATATTATTAAAATTAATTAACCATGACAATTTAAATCCAGATCTAATTCTAGAGTGAAGTTAAGATATAAACTGTTCGGTGAAGTATTAAAACAAAGCCCCCAAATAAATATCTTAAAAATGAAATGGTATAATAAATAGCCTAGCCATTCCCCACTACATCAGTGTCATAAAACAGAAATCTGAAGATCAGAATAGGTATTACTTTTAAAATATACCCTCTTTCTTATTTGGCGACGCATAACAATGTCTAGCAATTAAACTGACCAAAAAGACAACAGTTGATGAGTATGATATGGAGTTTTATTTTCAAAGCACACGAATTTCATCTTCTGTGGCTGGATAGAGAAACCAAGGGTCAAGTTTTCTCTGTGCGTATGGTGCATTGAGAGACTTCATCTAATTTTAATCTGTGCAAAGCTCTTGAGCTTCCTAAGGGTTCAGAATGTCACACTTGCACATGGGGCATGTTCTATGGGCTAAAAGCCAGGGGTCAATGCACGTCTTGTGGAAAAAATGCCTGCAGGTTAAAATGCGTATTACATCCTGTGCTTTGTACATATCAAAACAAACGACACAGTTGTCTTCATTTGGGTCTAGTTCCTTATCCCCTTCCTTGAGCACTCGAACTGGCAGCTGACCAATAGCTTTCTTCACATCGGCCTTTATCCGTCTTTGCCTCCTGGTAGAAGAATTGGGCACTCGGGGTCTCCAGGCACAATACAGGAAGAGGTAAGCAACTGTGGCTGCCAGGAAGGTGAACAGAGACATGACATAGTGACTCAGCCATGGCATATGCATCCTCCCCACTTCAATGATGATTGTCACGTAGACACCTTTCTGGACCAAGTGCAAAAGCTCCATGCCTTTGAGGTTGCCTATCATCACGGCAACGATATTGTCTGTGCCCTGGTGAGACATGGGAAACACCTTGTTGCCTGTACCTGGATAGTTATAGATGATCACCCCATTTGCTCCCTTCTCTGCTGCCACGTTGATTTTATGAGTAAAAGTACAGCCTCCTCGTTCAATGAGGGCCAGCCAAGAGTCCGCCTGATCAGGCCTGCTGAAGTTGGTCAGAGGATTACAACCATTTTGATTCCATCCTTCAGGAAGTACCACGGCACCGGATGCCCTTTCCAGAGGAGAATGATTCCCAAACACTCCACTCTCTCCTAGTTCTGATATGATCCGGTTTCCCACCTGGAATGTTATATTCAGATGAGCCGTCCATATTGCTTTTCCTTTGGAGTCTGGGAGGCTAAGCAGTAGAAAGATGATAAGCCTCATCAGTGGAGATGAAACAGACCTATGAGCTGAATGTGTAGGTCCAAGTGGGTTCATTCCTCCAGTAACGGACAGACAGGAAAAACAAAATAACAGCTGCTTTAAAAGGAGGTAAAGGAGCTGGCCTGAGCTGTCGAGGACAGATTGCTAAAGCCCAGAAATGACGAAGGTCTGCCTGGATGGAAGACACCTTGCTCCTTCCAGCATTTTTACTCTTGGTACTTTATCTTTCTTATAGTGAAAATT